GCCCACAGAACTAGATAGAATCCCAAGAAGTGCTTTCGATTAGCCGGCCTAGGCCATGACTATATACGGTAAATTGATTTGCTCAATGTACTTGTGCTTTGAAGTTAGAAGAAATTCCAAAATGAATGGTTGTTGCGGGTACCATGAGATAATTTTTGATAGTGAATTTTCAATAAAATGTAATTGAATTTACCTACATACTACAACATAACGATAGAGAAAATGCAAAGCGAGAATTGCCATTTGTAATCCATACATAGAGGAAAAAAAGCACAATAGCAGTGTTCCTGTTGGTTGCACTTTCGTAAAAAGTCCTTTGCTGTAGACCATAATTGAATTTCTATATACGAGACCAATCTGAATGCACATACTTTGAATACAATAGCTGCGATTGAATTTTTCTAATTCAAGCATTTGCGGTGCACAAAAAATTTTTGGATAGCTGATAAACTAGGGTCATTTGGTACGAAATCGAAACGTACCGGCTTGGCAAGAAATTCAGAGGATGAATAGATAATATTGCAGGCAGCAAAGGATATCAGTAGGTACTTGTAGGTGCCAATTTTTTTCTCCCCTTTCTTGCATACGATATAAGCAAAGAAGGAATTTACAAGTATTGCTACGAAGAGCTGCGCTATGGATACAGGATCAAGAATCTTTTCAATATCCATTTTGCCAGAGCGACCTAAACCGTTTTGATTAAAGAAGTGTCCAAACTGGGAGAAAACAACCAAGAACGTATAAAGACGAGTTCTGGCCGAATGAGAGGTACAGCTCCCATGTGCAAAAGAATAACAGAATTTTACATTACAGAATTACCGCAGTGGCAAATTGGCAGTATTGAAAGTAAATAGTTGTTATTAAAATACAGGACACCCACGCTCTAAAAACCCTTCACTTTTTGTTTGCTGCAATTTTTTACAGTAGTTAAAGGAAAATCTTTTACAAATGAGTTCCATACAATGAATTTGACGATTTGCTATAACTCAGCAAAGTGAAGCTGGTAAGGGACGAATTAGATATGCGTATATCATACGGCAGACATTCCACATAGACACTTCCGCTTGTGTATCGTTAAAATCTCTTTATTATGAACTAAAGGAAATTAGGCAAGTTCCGTAAACGTCCATGACGCGAATTGTCTGGTGCGAAATTTGAAAATTTTACCTT